CTAAAAGGCAGTGAATTGTTGTTTGCGTTCAGAGATTGAAATCATTTTCAACCAAACGTTACGTTTAGAGCGAAAGCCAATCGACGGTTACAATCGTTTGGCCTCTCTTTCAGTTGATCTCACAATCGCTTTGATTGACCACTCATTTGGCCATCAAATCACTCGCTCAACACATTTGTTATAAAGAGTTGTTTCGATTGATATATCAATCGATCCGTTGTTTACGTAAGTAAACCAAAAGTGAAATCTATTTTTGAAACCAAAATAACACTTAAATAACACTCAAATCTGTGCCCAATATATCTGACGGTTCAGTCATTCATACTATGGTTAAACGAGGTATGCGTTGAGTACATGTGTTTGTTGTGTCCAGTGATCGCCTCATTGGATCAATTGATTGACTACTAATGATTGATTAGTGCATACAATAAATGCTGACTAATAGAGTATGTATTTGCAGGTTATAAACGAAGTAACAATCAAACGATCGCATCAATGGCTCAATCAGACGAATTTATGGAGAAATTTGACCAAATGATGGCCAATATCTTCGCCGACGACAAGAAGACCATGACTCAGGAGGAATACATGTCGTTCTATAGGTATAACACTTGACGCCACTAATCGCTGCCATTGTCTGCCAAATACTGAGTTTAATTGATTGTTGTATTGAAAGCCTGATTCACGACAAGTGCACAAATATGAGGAGTGATAGCAACGGTCACCGCTCGAGTCAGAACCACAACTCCAACATCAAGGAAGTGGTCTATAAAAAGATCCACAACTTCTTCAAAAGTCACATCGAGAAGAAGCGACAGGTATTTCATTGACAAATAATATGTCATTTATGCGTGAATTAACATATGATTGATATGTTTAGCGTTGCAATGAATACCCTGACGAAGAGTCACTGTTGGACTTCTATACCCAACAGTGGGAGGACTACAAGTTCTCGAGCAAAGTGTTGGACGGCGTTTGCAATTATATCAACCGCTTCTACTGTTCCTCTAATAACGACAAAAATATACCGACCATTAATGTGGTATGTGTTGCGCTCATCACACCTTTCAGAGTATAGTATTTAATGAATAGTTTTGATTTAATGATTGGCTCAACAGTTGGCCAAATTGGAGTGGAAGGACAGTCTTCTGCATGATTTCGGTCGAAAGGTATGCAAATCAGTGCTCAAACTGATCGAAAAGGACAGGAATGGCGAGAACATCAACACACGACTCGTTAGCGGTGTTGTCGACTGTTTCGGTTTGTCTTAACCCAAAGTTATTTGTTTGAAATAATGTATTACAAATCAGTGCTCAAACTGATCGAAAAGGACAGGAATGGCGAGAACATCAACACACGACTCGTTAGCGGTGTTGTCGACTGTTTCGGTTTGTCTTAACCCAAAGTTATTTGTTTGAAATAATGTATTAATTTTGAGCGTATGTTTAGTCGAGTTATCACAGATCGGTCGCGACAGCGATGAGGACACCAACAAAGTGTTCGAAGAGTCCTTTCAGAAGCCATTCATTGAACAAACGCTAGAGTTCTACACCAATGAAAGCAATGCCTTTTTAGAGCAAAACTGTTTCACTGATTACATGTATCGGTGTTCCGCACGGCTGGAAGAGGAGCGCAATCGTGTCAAACGATATCTCAGCGAAAAACTCTTACAGCCAACCATTGAGACCGTGGAGAACGCGTTGATCGTCAAGAAAATTGACAAATTTATCGAAGAATTCCAGAAACTGTTGGTCGGAGACAATGTCGACAGTGAGTACCACTTTTTGGTCCACAGCTAATGTCTAATATGTTATGAAATGTGTGTACAGAGTTGGCAGTGCTATACAAACTGGTGATTCGCGTCGGTTCAGCCATTGAACAGTTGTGTCTATTTTTCAAAGAGCACATCACCAAAGATGGCAACGACGCCATCGAGAATATCATTGACAGAGCGCCCGACGATCCCATTCTCTTTGTGGACACCGTTTGGAAAGTCTACGATAAATACCGGACACTATTGGATAAAGCACTTCAATCGGACGGAGCCTTCTATAAGTCATTGGATTCCGTATGTCTTGAGTTGTATTACTGTTTAGAAAACATTATTCATTAATTGTTTGTTTTATGAAATGTCTCCAAAACACAGGCGTTAATGGATTTCGTGAACAAAAACAAAGTAACGGAAACCTCTCCCATAGCGTCGAAGAAAACACCCGAACTGTTAGCCAAATATTGCGATATGTTATTGAAAAACAAAGTGAAACAAATGGATCCGACAGAACTGGAGGAGAAACTATCTCAAGCCGTGATTATATTCCGGTTCATC